GGAAACCCAGAGTGATCCACCTCCAGAAACCATAAAAAGCAAGAGAATTCCTTCTGAAAAGTCCTCTCCCAAGGGGGCCCCCCACACTTGACCAATGCAGGGGAGAAAGTTCCTTACATTTTTGGCAAGAGTTTTCAACAGGGGAAGCAACTTAGAAAGCTCATGGGAGCTCATTACTTAGGACAGAAACAGAACACAACATCTCCTGGGTATCTGCGGACTTTTCTTTCTCCTTGTGATGCTACAGAATTTGGATGAGAAAGCCTTTGATCAAGACTCTTAGCTGCATTCACAGTGAGCTGAAGGACAACTCTGGAGCTAAGGGAGAGAGTAAGTTAATTTGTAAGTAAGTTAATGGCCCCAAAGTCATATATGCCTATTGTACATACCCTCTGTCCTCCCTGTTTACTGAGCACCTACATAGAACTTAAAAATGTACAAGTTAACTTTGTTTCAGACTCTAGTACAAATAGTCTCTTGCTCTGTGTCCTAATTGGCTAGAATTCTAGGTTAGGAATAAATGGGAGACAGATAACTTTTCAAAGCATGATACCTTCAGAAACCTCTAACTATTGGAACAGGAGTTGTGTTTAGAGGAGTCAAAGTTGGGTGGGGAATGGATGGAACCCAGAAGTGGGAAAATGATGGAAAGATTTCCATACTCTCCCAGCAAGTGAATTCACCTTTGTCATCTTTGTTATTTGCATTGTGTTTCCCATCTTTATGGTGTGCAGAATATAAATAAAACTAAAATGTCTTAAACACTTCCTACGGACCAGACACTGTGTTAAGTTTTATAGCATTAGTTAATTTAATCCTCATATCAACTCTATTTATTCATATTTCACAGATGAAGACTATGATTAAATAGGATAGTAACCTGATTAAGCCATACAGTTGGTTATGGGTGGGGTCAGGGATTGATAATCCAGTTCTGTCTGACCAGAGTTCAGGCTCCTAACCAATATTCTTTGCTACACAATGGATAGTTTTAAAACCAGGCCAGCTAGATTTATAAACTAGTGTCTGTTCTTCTCTCTCTTCCTCTCTTCCCTTTCTCCCTCCTACAGAGTTTGCTGAGCATCTAATATATGCTAGACCCAGTTTCAGGTGCTTGGAATCCTTAAAAATAGGAATAGTCTCTGCATTTAATAACAGTCTCTTGGGAAGACACAAGTAATCTCAAAGACAGTGATTTTAAGTTTTATGAGAGAAATAAACAGAAGGTACCTAAGGGTGTCAGGAAATGCTTCTACTGCAGACTTTTGGAAAGCCACTTCTCCTGGAAATGTCTGAAGATAATTAAATTTTTTAGTGATTTGGCATTTGATCAAGGTATTGAAAATTAGCATTTGGTAAACTGAGAGGCCTCTTTCATTATGTTTTGCCTGGTGCCATACCATATGTAACTACAGGTTAAAAGATATTAATGCCTCATCAGCCTAAAAGACTTGAAAGCAAGGACGCAAACAGATATCTGACACCAACGTTCACTGCAGCGTTATCCACAGTAGCCAAAATGTAGAAACAAGCTAAGTGTCCATGAACAAATGAATGGATAAATAAAATGTGGTATATACATAGGAGCTTTGTTGGCACAGTGGTTAAAGCATTTGCTAACCAAAATGTCAGCAGTTTGAACCCATGAGCCACTCTGCAGGAGAAAGATGAGGCAGTCTGCTTCTGTAAAGATTTAACCAAAAAAAACTCCTAACTCACTGCCATTGAGTCAACTCCAACTCATAGCAACCTTTCCTTGGGTTTCCAAGGCAGTATCACTACCAAAGTAGATCGCCCAATCTTCCTTCAGAGGAGTGGCTGGTGGGTTTGTTGTAAAGATTGCAACCCTTAGAAACCTCTCTCTCCTCTAGGGTTGCTGTGAGTCAGAATAAACTCGATGGCAGTGGGTTTTTAGGCTTATATCCATACAACAGAATATTAGTTGGCTATAAACAGTAATAAAGTCCTGATACGTGTTATGACATGGATGAACTTGAAAACATTATGTTGAGTGAAATAACCAAAAGTTTCACTACCGTCAAGTCGGATCCGACTCATAGTGACCCCCCCTTGGGTTTCCGAGGCACTTGACTGCTAACCAGAAGGCTGGAAGTTTGAACTCACCAGCCACTCCTCAAAAGGAAGGTTGGGCAATCTACTTCCGTAGTGATATTGCCTCGGCAACCCAAGGAGGGGTCGCTATGAGTCAGAGCTGACTCAACAGCACATAACAACAACAACAACAACATTACAGAAGTAGATTGCCCAACATTTCTTCCGAGGAGTAGCTGGGGGATTTGAACTGCCAGCCTTCTGGTTAGCAGTCAAGTGCCTTAGGCACTATGCCACCAGAGCTCCTCAATAAGTCAGATTAAAAAAAGACAAATATTGTATAGCTTCACTTCTATTAAATATCTAAAATAGCCAAATGCCTAGGGACCAAAATTTATTAGTGGTTTCCAGGGACAAGTGGATGGAGAAGTGGGCAGGAATTGCTTACAGGGTACTGAGTTTCTGTGTAGGTTGACAAAAACTTTTGGAAACAGGGCGCTGGTTGCACAACATGGCACATGAGCTATGTGATATGGAAAAAGCTAATTTCCCTTTCTGGGTTTTCATTTATTTTAGTGGTCACATTTAAAAAGTAAAAGAAACAGGTAGAATTAATTTTAATAATATATTTTATTTAACCCCCCCAAAAAAAATTTTTACTGCCATAAAGTCGATTCCACCTCATAGTGACCCCCTTTGGGTTTCCAAAGCAGTAAATATTTACAGAAGTAGATTGCCCAGTCTCCCTTCTGAGGATTGGCTGGTGGGTTTGAACCACCAGCCTTCTGGTTAGCAGTCAAATGCCTTAGGCACTATGCCACCAGAGCTCCCCCTTTAACCTCATATATTCAAAATTTTCTTATTTCAAAATATTTTACATTGCTTTAGTGTAATTTAAATGAAATTTAAGATTCAGTTCTCACTCACACTATCCACATTTCAAATACTCAGAAGCCACATCGGCTACCATATTGAACAGAGCTAACTTAGTAGCAATCATCTAAGCACTATAAAGAGAGATGAGAACAAAACATACTTCAAGAAGACCAGGAATTAGTTGGTATCAAGAAATTGCTGGTAATTTTTTACTAGATATGATCATGACTTTGTGTTTATGTAAGAACATTCCTTATTTTTAGAGAGATTGATACTAAAGTATATAAAGGGTAAAAATGACCTGATGACTGAGAGTTTCTTTAAAATACTTTACAAAATATGGAAATGAAAAATAGGAATAGATGACACAAGTATAACAAAATATTGATAACTTTTTAATCTGTGTACCAGCTGGACAATGAACAAGGAAGACTGCAGAACTGATGCATTTAAGTTGTTGTGTTGGCAAAGAATATTGAATATATCATGGACTACCAGAAGAACGAACAAATCTGTCTTGAAAGAAGTATAGCTGGAATGCTCTTTAGAAGTGGGAATGGCCAGACTTCATTTCTCATACTTTGGTCACATTATTAGGAGGGACCAGCCCCTTGAGAAAGATATCATGCTCAGTAAAGTAGAGGGTCAGCGAAAAAGAAGACCCTCA